CTCGATACAACAGCAGCAGCACTCACGTGAAACGCGCAGCACACGGCGAATTGGCACGGTTCTGTCGCGACCGTCCTCCAATGGATCGACGGCGACGGCGATGATAATGATGACGGTCGTGGGTACGCGACGACACTAAGAAATGATCGTAGACAAGCGCACGGACGAGACAGCGGATTTCGAATCGCCCTCGCGGATTGTCCTGTCCCGGAAGCCCAGCGCTCCTCAGGCCCTCATTCACGTATCGTGACCATTCATCTCACTTTCATGTTCCGAAATCACGATCGCGGCGTCCTTCTCCCCTCGGCAAGCGCCGAAACGTGCGCATCTCTGCGTCGCCGGATGTTGACTCTGTCGCCGCGGCGGCGGACGCTGGCAAACCTGACGACGCGTTTTCACGGGCGCTGTGATCGGCACCGTGGAACCCGGCGCGCCCGGCGCTACCGGCACCCATAGGCGGTGTTTTTCACCGCGGCTGGGGGGGACCCCGACCGTCGCGATGGTCGCGATCACCAGCGATCACCGACCGACTGGAAAATTCCCTAGCGCACCGTGAGAGCGCGTACTCGTCGACTACTCTCTCTAGTCTCTCTCTCTCACTTAAATCACCTTATCACAACGCATTATTTATTATCTATTTTCGTAATTATATGTTTTCAACTCTTAAGGAGAGAATATTACGGGTCGCTTAATGAAATAATGGCTCTCTCTGTCTCTCTTCCTTCTCCCTCTTTTCATCATTATTTTGTATAAAACTTTAAATCTGCTCAAATTTATTTTTTTATTGTTACACTTGAACTTTTTTGATCGCTTTCGCCAAATATTAAACACATCTTTTATTTAAAGTTTCAAAACTACATAGAAAACAGACTATAGAAAAAAGAACTATAGAAAACAGACCTTTTGTATTGTTTAGTATCATGCGGTGCGTACATTATTCAGCTTCACGTATTGAAAAATGAGATAAGGCATTTTTTTGAAAAGAAATTTATGAATCTGCTATTGTTTTTTTTTACCCGTGTGGCCCATTTTCACAATATATAGGGTAACCTAAAGATTAAAGGTTATCAACAGATTCATTAATGAAATTTATTCATGAATTTCTTGATTTATACCTTTAATCTTAGGTAACCATATATTATGAAAATGGGCCATAATGGGTAACAATAGCAGATTCATAAATTTCTTTTCAAAGAAATGCCTTATCTCATTTTTCAATATGTGGAACTGAATAATGTACGCACCGTATGATCGTATGATACAAAACAATGCGAAAGATTTGTTTTCTATAGTCTGTTTTCTATAGTTTTGGAACTTCAAATAAAAGATGTATGTTTAATATTTAGCGAAAGCGATCAAAACAGTTCTAGTGCAAAAATAAAAAAACTTCGATCAACTTAATCAGCGATTAATCCAACCGTAGAGTTGCTCGAATCACTGAAAAATTTGTTTTAATTAGTCGTCCTTAATTTCATCTTGCTTTCCATGTATTAAACGACAAAAAATTATTCTGCTTTTTAACAAAATATAATAATATAATGTGAGTATTTTTTGATAAATTAATCGCCAATTAAGTTAATCTCATTGTTCGAGGTCTGTATCTAATTGATGTCATTCAACATGTTAATTACGTGCAACTTCTCTTTAGAAACTTATTTTTAAATTCTGTTACACATATGTATATTATTTTTCTACAGGATGATTTATTTTTAATCTTAACACAGGCAAACATTTTCGAAATATTTATCTATTAAGATTAAATTGAATCATCTCCCGTATAACAGAAAAATTCTCAAGATGCATCTTTAATAATGTATTAAATCCAATTTTTTCAAATTTTAAATAAATATATTCGGATTAATTTAATAATTGTATTCTTTTCTTTTTATAAAAATATCTGCATAAAAAGATATTAAAAATCCTAAATAAATTAATGTATATATATTTCCTATTTTGCAAATAAATAAATTTTTTTACGGTTTATGAAAACCATGAGTCTTTCATTTCGAATAACATCTTAAAATAATTTGTTAATACATGTATTATGAAAATTGGAGGAAACATTTCTTTTTTACTATCTCCAAACAAATATTGATCTTTATTTCCAAGGTAAATAAGTATCTCTGCTTGTATCTATAAGCTATCTGTATACAATCGAAACTAAAAGAAGATATGCGCATCGATTCTGATGAATAAACTGGCGCAAGTCTAATTCTAACGGCTCATGTTTGTCCGTCGTAACTATGACTACACTTGCTAAGTTAAGAGAAAAATATCGTGTTGGAGACATACGACGTTCCTATAGGAAATACTCGATCGGCACAAGTGTGCGAATTCACAACGACGTTAGAAACAATCCTGGCGAAATGAATGATAAGGATGACAGTGCTTGGGTGTTCGACTCCTTGATTGGATTTTTGCAAGGTCCTATTTGGTCCTCGCCCCTTTTGAGCTTCATCGAGGAAAAGTCCCTCGGTTCGTACAGCCATTGGAAATACTTTTCTTTTGACAAATATTATCAGTTCTTCGAGTAAAAGGATCCTATACATATACCCAGATAGCAAAGCATGTCTCAGCAAAATCGTACAAATCTGTGATTGCTAATTATTATGCTGGCAACTTGCCATAAATTTATCTTCAACGATTTCGAATATACCGACATTATAGCAACATGCAGACAACAATGTGTATATGTATTGCCAGCAGTTTAACAGCAAGATAGCTGCATCAATGTTATCTTGCGTTGTTGGCAATATGACAACATTGTACGATACTGCGCATATTATTATGGCAATATGATGGCAATAGTACGAATTTTAATGATGACGATTTTAAAGTTGCTGGCAATTTGCTATTCAATGTTATAATATCGTGAAGGCATCAAGTTGCCAACAAATAAGGACTCAGTTGCTGCAATTCTGTTAGCAATGCATACTTGGCAAGCAACAAGATAGATACGTTATCTGGGTATTATAATTGGATTCTGGAAATGAGTTAGTTTTTACAAATAAAATGTAACTTATAATGTGGACAAAAAGGTCATAAACATGAGGCTCAATGCTTTCCATTTGATGATACAAAATCAATACAAATGTCATTCTATCTTTGTTATTTTTTCAATGGTAAGAAAGAATAATTGCTTATGTCGTCTTGTGTTACTAAATGGAAAGTTCTCTATTAAGGATAATTTTTGAGCTATGATGCTCTGAGTTTTACATCTCTGAGTTTTACACCCCAGTTTAAAAATATCTTTTGTTCACTACATCATAAGTTATATATTATATAAGAAACTGACTCATTTCACCGAGACCAAATTTTCTATATAATTAGTACGAGAGCCTTTTTTGGTATAGAAAGAATAAAGAGAAATCTTATAGCGTGGCTTGTAACGGAAACACCACACATACATTCGTGTAAATTAATACCTTTCAGAATGTGTTCGTATAATTTCTTTGTAATAGAAGTAGAAGTCTTTGTGAAATTGGAAAACTTTTCGCCGAGAGTGTTGTATAATATAAGGCGCATTCATTTGTAATAACATAAATAAATATTTTATAAAGTCAATATATCGTAGTTTTCGAGGCTAACACCGAAGATTGCGAAGAGTATCGGAAAATATATCAGGAATACAAAAACTTGGTCGACTTGCTGCTTGGATGCTTTATGGAAGATATGGGTATCACACCGGAACAATTCGAACACGCATGCACTGTTAACAGAGATACAAAGATCCCGATACATTTTCAACAAGTATGGCCATTACACATACAGCCTCATAATGTCTGTATGAAGAATTACATTTCACTCATGCTTTGTTTCATAAGATTAAAACCGCGATTTGTTTTCGCGACATTAAAAAAAAAAGATTATATATAATGTTTACAAGATTTTTGGTGTGTTCAGGGAGACGCTATTAGTGCTGTTGTCATTCTATCTTTGTTGTTTATTAGACGTAAAACAAGGATAAAATGACACAATAGCGCTAATAGCGTCTCCCCGAACGTATCTTATAATACAAAAATATAAATGGTAGACGTTCATTAAAATTACATGATATAATTTATCTATATTTTGTATCCCTATCGTTCTTTTCCTAAAAATTATACCATCGCGTGTTTTACAGAATCTATTCGAACAAATATGGGCGGCGAATGAGTACGAAATATTCAAAAGAATGATGATACAAAAGAACTTGGAGCTCCAGCTGCAAGCGCTAAATATGATCGAACAAAAATACGGTCTCACACCTGCCTCTCTCGTATACGAGACGGATGGCTTCCTTGACGACGAACTGGTCATGGAGGATTTGATACAGTACGTTATATCATAAATATATCAATAAACTAGTCTACTGAAGACGTACAAGAATTAGAGATGTTTGTAAAAATTGGAACGGTTTTTGTGTCGGAGGAATTACATACCTTTCATATGTGTGCACAGGAAACGTGTTCTGGAAGATCAAAGCGAAGAAGAACCAGGTATATCCTCAGGAACAACATTGATCGCTGAACACGAGCGTTTAGCTGCTGAATATCACAATGAAAGAGCGTTATTGGAAGAAGCATTAAGAAGATCGAAAGATGATTCCAGGAATACTTCGGATGACGAGTCAACGGAAGAAGTTGAGTGTGCTACCATATCGGCTGAAAAAAAGCCTTTAGATAAACTTCAACTCAGGAAGAACGAGCCTCTCAAACCAATACCGACTTTAAAAAAGAAATCTGACGAAGACGAGGTATTTACTTTTGATTTACTTGCGTTTATGTGATATCAATACACGTACA